TGACCCAGGAGGAGTCCCTTCACCCTTCTGAGTAATCACATCTGCTTTGTAATGAGGACAGGATGTGTTAACAGGCCAGGGTTTTTGATAGGTAACATGAGCATGAGCTCAGCAAATGGTAGTTGAGTCTGCAGGGCAAACCTTTGCTCTGTCTTTACCCTACTCCTGCCACCCTCTGCTTCCCCTGGCCCTAGCCACCCATCTTTCTCCTCTGCTTTCTCTGCCTCTCTCTTCCTCTCCCTTTCTCTCCTGTTTGCCCACATGTATCTTTCTGTTTCTTTCTTTTTTTTTAAATCCTCACTCGAGGATATTTTTCCACTGATTTTTTGATAGAGTGAAAGGAAGGGAGGGAGAGAGAGGGAAACATTAATGTGAGAGAGACACATCCATTGGCTGCCTCCCACACAACCCTGACTGGGGCTGGGGATTGAACTTGCAACCCAGGTACATGCCCTTGACCAGGAATCGAACCCATGACCCTTTGGACCATGGAACAGCTTTCGAATTCTCTCTAACTGCTGAGATAAACCATCCAGGGCATATCTTTCTGTTTCTATCACCTTCCCTCTCTCCTGCTCTTTTGGTCATTTCTTGGTGGCAGAGCTGGGCGGGGCCAGGGCTGTCTTATAGGAGCCTTCAGCCCTTCTTCCCAGGTCTGCTATCCCTCTTCATCGATCTTCCCTCCTTCCTGCTATAGACCCAGTCATCGGAGCTTAGGGTGTCAGGTCAAGATCTTGCATACTTGCCTCATTTTCCAGGCTGAGAACCCAAAGGCGGGCATCCCAAAGGCCCCAGTGATGGCAGCAGCATCTCTCTGCCAGTGAGCTCATGCCTGTGTGTGCTGGGGATCCCTGTGGCCCCTAAGTAACACTGAGTGGGAACACCATAAAATACTGATACTGGAAACCTAAAATAACTAAACCTTCTACCCTGTGCTGCAGCCAACCCCAAATTAAGTGAGGTTCTAGCATAGATTATACCCCAGGAACAGGAGAATGGTATGGTAAAAAAAAAAACACTGAAAAATTCGGTGTTCATCATACCATTTTCGGATAGTTGGGGAAAGGTTTCGTAAGTTTGGGGAGCCAGGGTGCTTATTTGCAGCTACCCAAGGACTAGTGCCTTCCTTTAGCCCTGGTGGGCCTTACCCTCACGCTGTCCTCACATGCTTGCCACACCCAGTCTGGCTTGTGTGTCTGAAAGAATCCCGCTTCACACCAGGAAGCTCTTGAGGCAGACTGAGCGGGCCAGGCAGAGCAGAGCTGTGCTGCCTCTTAACTTTTTGGCCTAGATCTAAGGCAAATGAATTCTCTTTTGGAAGCCTCAGTTATTCTCATCTGTAAGATGGTTAAGAAATACTTCTTTTGAATGCTGTTGTGAGGGAGGGTTTCTGAGACTGTGTGTATAAAACCCCAAACCTGGCCTATAGCATGTGCTCTGCAAATGTTAGTCCAACCCATTTTATAAGAACAGGTGTGTCTGACTGGTTTGTGTGAGCTGGGCCTCCCGATGCCACTGAATGAAACACAATCACCCTTGACCCTCAGTGATTCTCCAAGTCCACCCACAGGTGATCCCATGCTCCTTCTGTCTCCACCAGTTACCCTTTTCCACCCTGAGGCCCAGGGAAGACAGCCACAATGTGAGTACCCTCAAACTGATCCTTCTAGCCCCAGTGAAACTGTAACTGGAGGACTGAGCCCCCACGCACCTTAATCCCCCAACCATATTTGAGGATGTTGACTTACCAGCTAGAGAAAATGCAGTTTCTATTGTGGGCTTTCTCAGGGACCCTGGAATCCAGCCTCTCAGTGCACAGTGAGGGAAATAGGCCAGAGAGGACAGGCAATGCCCCTAGTCGTACAGTGGACTGGCTGGTATGGGGAGCAGCTGAGCTGGGCATATCTGCCCTAGGATATCAATGAGGGTGTCATGGTGGCAGCACAGGTCTGGTGGGGGTGACAGGCAGTTCCAGAGCACTGGAGAGGACTCGGACTGCTATGGGGTTTGAGCACTGTGTTCCAGCATGGCTCTCCTCTGCCTGTCCACCCGCATGCCTTCAATGTTTATTTCCTTTGTATTTATTGGTCCAATTTTTAAACTCTTGCCCATATGGGAAGCCCTTCAGGGGGGCAAGGATCCAAAATAAAACACTGATTAAAATGCATAAAACACTTTGCCTTGGGAATTGCAGGAGTAACCTGCAGGATTAATGGTGCCAGTTTTGGTAGCCTTTCAGACATGACCCTGCCAGCATCCCTAGGTGACAGGGATATTGTGGACATGCTGTGCTCCTGCTGTGTCAGTTTGGGCAAGTGCCTTAGCCTTTCCAGGCCTCAGTTTCCCCACCATTCAGGACAGCCACATGTAAAAGGTGAGGGGTGAGGCAATTCAGAGGATGTGCCCTCTGGAGCTGTCCTGGTTCTCTGGAACATGGTCCATTGCTCTGAGGGTGACGGCCACACAGGGCAGTGCTGACCAGCTTTTCTGTCAACATTTTGCATTCCCCAGGTTTATCAATGCTCAACTGCCTGTTCCAGAGTCAGCCCCTGTAAACACTCAGATACACACACTTCCTTTCAAAGAACATTCAGTGGGATTTGTGTGTGCCTCTCCTTGGTCTGGGCAGCACCATGCTGTTGGCCCTTAGGCACCTCAACTTCTAGCAGGTGAGATGCACCCATGACTGTTGGACCCAGAATTAAACATATGGTCCAGGTGAAGGGTCAAGTGCTGAGGCTTTGCAGCACGGTTCCCTCTTTGTTCAAATCACCAGGAAGCTCTCACCTTTAGTTATTATTCAGGATTTTGTGGCATTCTTTCCTGACTGGCTTTCTTTCTTTCTTTTTTTTTTTTAATTTAAAATTTTTTTAAATTGTAGTTGTTAATCCTCACCCAAGGATATTTTTTCCATTCATTATTTTTTTTTGAAAGAGTGGAAGGGAGGAAGGGTGGGAGGGGGGAGAGAGAGAGAAATCAATGTGAGAAGGACACATCAATTGGTTGCTTCCCACAGGGCCCTAACTGGGACCAAGGATCGAACTGCAACACAAGTACGTGACCTTGACTGGGAATTGAACCCGTGACCCTTTGGTGCGCAGGCTGATGCTCTAGCCACTGAGCCACACGAGCCAGGGCTGGTTGGCCTTTTTTAGTTTTATCTTTTTATCATCTTGTTGCATAACTTTTCTGTCAGTTGACTCAAGTCATTTTTAGAATGATGTGTGCTATCCATCAGTTACATAATATCACTACTAATAAATGTAAGGTGCTTCAGTGTTGGGGGCAAGAGATGATTTCTGACTGAGTAGGTCACGGATGGCTTCATGGAGGAGATGGTCTTCGGGGTAGAAGGTCACAAAGGCTGCTGGAGCAGGAGGCTGAGAGAGTTCTCCAAACAGAGATGGCTTCAAGGCAGGAATGTGAGGACAAGGCTGGAATATCTGGGTGGCTTCATTGGACAGAGTGGCGGGAAAGGGGGTAGGTAGATGAGTAGGTAGAGGCAAGGTAATAGAGCCTTCAAATACTAAATTCTTGCCTGTGTGAGGGGCTTACCAACATCTCAGGTGGCCTGAGCCCTTGCTAACCCCCTTATTCCTCAGTCTGCTTTCTGACAGCCCTCACCCCGCCCACCAACCCAGCCCCTAGCTGGGTGCTAAAAGTCCTATTTACCTCTCCAAGACCCAGGCTTCAGCTGCCAGCCCAATTACCTATTGATCACCTGTCAGTATGTTTGCTTTTCTGGTGGTTCATTGGAGTGTGTATGACTATGGAAAATGGCTAGGTGGGGGTGGGGTAGAGAAAGACAAACCACAGAAGAGTCTGGAGAGAGGATGAAAGGGGCTGAGGGAAGGGAGGTAGACAAAGCCTTTGGGGATAACAAAACCTTGCAATTCCATCACATGTGAGTGACAGCCAGAGTCCTTTCTGATTAACCAGTCATTTAGTTGATCTATAACCAAGGAGCACCTGTCAGTCAGTCCTGGAAGACCAATGCAGCATTGGGAAGTATGTGGTTCCATTGAGTCTGACAGACCAAAGCTCTGATCTGAAATCCTCTCCCTGTATAGGCTGCATTTCCTTGGGCAGCCACAAGCACCCCGACCCTGGCTCAGCCCCAGTGCCTTAAGGGTTGAAGTGTGCATGACAAGGTGTGGGAAAGGTTGGAAGCTGTGGGAGAAAGGCCTGGACTGGGGCTGAGAGGTGAGCCCTCACAGCCTGAGTTTCCCTTTCCTACAGTAAGTTCCCCTCAGGCCCATGATTGGGGTATGTGGACAGGCAGCAGAGCCCTAGGGTGCCAGTCTGGCGTGGGATGGATCTTCACTCCACCAGCAGTGGGAGAGCTGCAGCTTGGCTCCCAGAGGCCATCTTGTCCACCCCCTGGAGTTTGGAGAAGTCCAGACTAGCCCTCTCAGTCCTCTCCTTACCTTGCTGGGCCAGTTTTTCATGTAGTAGAACAGAGGAGGGAGGGAGGAGATGGGGAGACCATCTGTGTACAAGTGTGACCAAGTGGCCCCTGAACACAAGCTGGGAGACAGTAATGAGGGGCTAGCTTCACATACCCCTTGGTCACTCCAACTACAGCCAGTGCTCAAGCTGGGCCTTGGCACTATCACCCTTGTCACCACCACCTAAGTGGCCTCGCATCCTCAGAGCTACAATGTGGACTGGCCCCTCCAGGGTGCCCATGCCATTCTGGGTTTTGGGGGTCTGACTGCCTCCCTCAGATTAGCAGCTACACAGAACTTGGCACTAGGATGAAGGTGGCTGGAATCCCAAGAGACTGAGTGATGGAGGCTGGAGGGGTTTTGGAGGGGAGCATACTTTCTATTGGGGATCAGAAAAATCTTCAGAGCAGTGGACATGAAATTAGGCTCAGAAGATGAGGTTTCAAATAGGCAGGGGAATAGCATTTCAGGAGGACAGCATTTCAGGGTGGGGTCTAGCCAAATGTTATCCTCTCACTGCTCCTTCTGCTCTGTGCTTGCTCCTGGCTGTAGGTAAGCAAGAGGATGCTGACAAGGGGTGAGAGGAGCATGCCCAGCCCCCTCCTGGCCTGTTGGCAGCCTATCCTCCTGCTGGTGCTGGGCTCGGTGCTGTCAGGCTCAGCCACAGGCTGCCCGCCCCGGTGCGAGTGCTCTGCCCAGGACCGTGCAGTGCTCTGCCACCGAAAGCGCTTTGTAGCTGTGCCCGAGGGCATCCCCACCGAGACCCGCCTGCTGGACCTGGGCAAGAACCGCATTAAAACACTCAACCAGGATGAGTTTGCCAGTTTCCCGCACCTGGAGGAGCTGGAGCTGAATGAGAACATTGTGAGCACCGTGGAGCCTGGCGCTTTCAATAACCTCTTCAACCTCCGGACACTGGGGCTCCGCAGCAACCGTCTGAAGCTCATCCCCCTGGGTGTCTTCACTGGCCTCAGTAACCTGACCAAACTGGACATTAGTGAGAATAAGATTGTCATCTTGCTGGACTACATGTTCCAGGACCTGTACAACCTAAAGTCGCTGGAGGTTGGTGACAATGACCTTGTCTACATTTCCCACCGAGCCTTCAGCGGCCTCAATAGCCTGGAGCAACTGACACTGGAGAAATGCAACCTGACTTCCATCCCCACCGAGGCACTGTCCCACCTGCATGGTCTCATTGTCCTAAGGCTCCGGCACCTCAACATCAATGCCATCCGGGACTATTCCTTCAAGAGGTTATACCGGCTAAAGGTCTTGGAAATCTCCCACTGGCCGTATTTGGACACCATGACACCCAACTGCCTCTATGGTCTCAATCTGACATCCCTATCCATCACGCACTGCAATCTGACTGCTGTGCCCTACCTGGCTGTGCGCCATCTGGTCTATCTACGCTTCCTCAACCTCTCCTACAACCCCATCAACACCATCGAGGGCTCCATGTTGCATGAGCTGCTACGGCTGCAGGAGATCCAGCTGGTGGGTGGGCAGCTAGCTATGGTGGAGCCCTATGCCTTTCGTGGCCTCAACTACCTGCGTGTGCTCAATGTGTCTGGCAACCAGCTGACCACACTGGAAGAGTCTGCCTTCCACTCGGTAGGCAACCTGGAAACACTCATTCTGGACTCCAACCCACTGGCCTGTGACTGCCGTCTCCTGTGGGTATTCCGGCGCCGCTGGCGGCTCAACTTTAACCGGCAGCAGCCCACGTGTGCCACGCCTGAGTTCGTCCAGGGAAAAGAGTTTAAGGACTTCCCCGATGTGCTCCTACCCAACTACTTCACTTGCCGCCGTGCCCGAATCCGGGATCGCAAGGCCCAACAGGTGTTTGTAGATGAGGGCCACACGGTGCAGTTTGTGTGCCGGGCAGATGGCGACCCACCACCCGCCATCCTCTGGCTATCACCTCGAAAGCACCTGGTCTCTGCCAAGAGTAACGGGCGGCTCACAGTCTTCCCCGATGGCACGCTGGAGGTGCGATACGCCCAGGTACAGGACAATGGCACATACCTGTGCATTGCTGCCAACGCGGGTGGCAATGATTCCATGCCTGCCCACCTGCATGTGCGCAGCTACTCACCTGACTGGCCCCATCAGCCCAATAAGACCTTCGCTTTCATCTCCAACCAGCCAGGTGAGGGAGAGGCCAACAGCACCCGAGCCACTGTGCCTTTCCCCTTTGACATCAAGACCCTCATTATAGCCACCACCATGGGCTTCATCTCCTTCTTGGGTGTTGTACTCTTCTGCCTGGTGCTTCTGTTTCTCTGGAGCCGGGGCAAGGGCAACACGAAGCACAACATCGAGATTGAGTATGTGCCTCGCAAGTCAGATGTGGGCATCAGCTCCACTGATGCGCCTCGAAAGTTCAACATGAAGATGATATGAGCACCGGGTGGGGCTCCCTCCCTGGTCCTGTGCCACCCCTCCCTGCCCCAAGTCCTGTGTCCAGCTGCCTCACTGGCCCTCACCACCTCCCCTCTACCAGGACCTCTGAAGTCTGGGCCTGGGGAACCCGCTGCACAGGGGCACATAAGGACAGACTGGAGTCGGAAGCTGATAGACCAACACACAGCGGTCAATACAATTTAAAAAGTTACGAACTTCTTCTGTAACTTGGGTTTCAATAATTATGAATTTTTATAAAAACTTGAAATAATAAAAAGAGAAAAAAAAAACTATTTCCTATAGCTAGTCGGAATGCAAACTTTTGACATACTGATTGCTCCAGGGTCCTCTTCCAACTCAGATTCTTGTTTTTCTTCTCCAACTCTTCCTCCTCTCTCTTCTCTTCCCCTGTGGGGAGCAATCACTCAGGAAAACAGGAAAGGCGATCTCAGCCCCACCAGCCCACCCTAGCAAGTCAGCCTGAAGGAGCAGACAGGGTGGCAGTTATAGGCCCACCTCTCAGCTGGCTGTTTGCTGGGAGCAGGTGGAGGAGACAGGGCTGCCAGATGGGGGCAGGGCTGTCTGCTGAGCTTCCAGGGGTCAGGGGCCTGGTCAGGTGTGGCTGATGCTGTGGACAGGGGCTGGGGCCTACCTAGAGGACAGCATAGTCAGCCAAGAGAGCTATGGGCTGGAGGTGAGGATGAGGCCTAACTTCTGGCCCCAGCTGTACCACTGATTTGCTGTGTGGCCACAAATAGGTAACTGATCCTCTCTGGCCCTCAGTTTCCACATCTGTGCAGATAGAAGTGTTACTCCCTGCCCTGCCTACCTCACAGGGCTGTTGTGAGGAATTGATGAGCTGTATGTGAAACATTTTGTAACCTGTAAAGTGCTGTGCCCACATGTGGGTGACTGTTCTCATTATGGTCATTATTATCTCATGGTGGGGGATGGGCCTCCTGAAGGGATCTCCAAGGGTTTGGGAGCAGGCCTGGAAGAGGGTCTGTTCATGCTCAGGGACTTCCAGAAGCTCCTGCCAAGGCAGTGGCCAAAAGCATCAACTAGATGAACTAGGCTTTAGACCCACAGGGGTGTCCTGAGGCCCATGAGCATCATGGCTTCGGCCACCTCTGTTCTGGGGTCATCCCAGGCAGAATATCACTGTAGCTTTGACTTAGACCTTTCCAGGGATTTGGGAACATCAGCTCTTGCCACAAGCATTTATCGTGTGCCTGCTATATGCCACTTCCCATGGAAAGTGCCCAGTCTTTGAGGCTGAGGGAGGCGGTTCTAGGGCTTACTTTTGGACTGCCCAGACCCAGGTCACCACCCTAGCTTTGCCCTATTTTTCATTAGGACATACTCTGAGCCTACCCTGGGCTGTGAAGCATTCTGGATTGGGATCCACCTGCACATGAGCTGGCCAGAAAGGTCAGATGTGGCCCCACCCACTTGCACCAAACCTAGCTGCTCCAGACAACCCTGAAAAGGGATGCCCTGAATGGTAGAAATGCAAAGAGCCAGATAGGTCACCTTGTCACACGATTATACATTTCTGAGCTTCACAGTCAGGTGTGAGTGACTTCCTGTTCTCCCTAGGTGTTTGGAATTGTCATTTAACCTCTCAGACCTCAATCTTCCCATCTGTAACATAAAGGTAGTCTTACTACTCTGGGTTGGTAGGAAGTTAAATGAGGGAGTGTATGTATTTGTTGATTGGTGGAGTTCCTTGCATTCAGGAAGAACTTCGATCAATAGTGGTGATGATGATTGCTGTTGAATTTAACCCTGGTACAGATGGAAAGACTGCAGACCAGAAAGGCTAGTAGCTTATCCAGTTAAATAGCTACTAAATGACAGGACCAGGGTCTGGGAATTCAAGACTCCTAGAACCTTAGACTTCTAAGACTGGCTCAGGGCTTCTCAGAGCCAAGCCTGGGAAACCCCACGTGGCAGGAGACCTCTTCAGTGAGCACAGGGACAGGTAAAGGATTCCTTGGGCATGGGGGTGGTTTGTATGTAAAGAGGCCATTAGTGTGCAAGGCTCAAGAACCTGACAATCCTGTCCAGCTCTAGAGAGACCAGAGCACAGTCTTTCCATTGCCCAGCCCTGGACACCCTGCTCAGCACTGTCCTCCCACAGGAGGCAGCTGTGGTTTGTCCCTTAGCCCTCTGGGATGCCTGGGTACCTGGGGCTTCACAGAGTTCTGGTAAGAGCAAGGGATTTATGGGGCCACATTATTCTGCCTGCTGAGTGGGAACAAGACCCCCGAGGATATGCTGGGACCAAGAATTGTGAGGTTTTCAGATAGAGAGAGTCAGTTTGGGGGGACATAAGTGCCCAGGTCAGGATGCTGGATTGGCCTAAGCAAAGGAGCCTGGGGACTGGGCAGAGCCCGGACTGGGAGCTAGGTGGCCTGGCTTTCAGTACTGTTCTTTTCTAACTGTGGAACCTTTATCCATAGCAGAGGGTAATGAAGTCAAATGCTAAAAGCTCTGCCAGATACATAAGGGAGAATACAGCCTGGAAAGTTAGGCTAGAGAGGCTACTTTTTCTATGGCCTGACAACCTCTGAAGGGGAAAGAGGAGGAGCAGATACCATCTCACCCTTCCCCTTCCCTGGCACACACACAGCTGGGACTCTGCACCCAGAGGTGATTGGGAGGGGAGGGTAAAGCCTTCCTGGGCCACCCACATTCCACATGGTCCCAGTAGCTCCAGTGTACCTTAGACCCAGTGGGTTTGTGGAGTTAGCACGTCCTGCCACCTCAAGTTCTTTAGGGAGCTGCTGCTCTGCCCACATTCCAGCCTGGGTCTGAGTTACTGGGGGATAGGCAAGATACTGAATCCTCAGAATTTAGTCTATTTTCCAGGAGACCAAGACCAGAGGCAGCCTCCAGAACCATTTTTCTATAAGACAGTGTGCCTTAAAGAGAAAAAAAAGGTAATAATGCCGAGATCCTACCCTGGACAAGCATATGGACCTGGCCAAGGATGGCACCCAGCAGGGTGAGTATTAGAGCAGCAAGCATCCAGCATGTTCCCATCAAAATGAGAATCTGGTTTACCCCCTCAAAAATGAGAATCTGAGACTCAGAGAAAGTAAGTAACCAGCCTAGTGTCACACAGCAGAGTGAATAGGGCATGGTCTTTGGAGTCAGGCTGACCTTGGTTCAAATCCCACCTCGGGTGTGAGACCTGTTTGGTGTACAGTCATGACCACTGCTATCAGCCATTATGGACAAGCAAGGAAGTGCTGACTGTATAGGGGGCACAGTAGGTGATCTCAAAGAGCTAGAATGGGGTTGGGGTAAAAACCAAACCAGCTCATGCCTTCTATTTTGCCACTAAAGGCCTTGGGGCTGAGGGGAAGGTGGGAGCTGACTTAGGCCATCACTCCTGTCTGCACAGGACAGACAGATGGCCATGCCCTGGGGCCCTGGAGGACAAAGCCACTACCTTTGTTTGGAGGGATGGAGGTCTGAGAGCAAGGGAGAAAGGGTGAGAGGAACAGTGCAACCCCCTGGCTAGTATTAGAAGTCCAGGATACCTTGAGCCTTTTAGGGTCTAAAGTCAGGGCTCATGGGGTATAAGGAGCAGGGAAGCACAGACTACCTAGAGTTAAGTGATTTTGGGGGGCCCCCACAGAACCTGGTTCCATGATATATCACTTTTCCTGCTTCTCTCCCCAATTTGGTGTTTTCTGATGACATGACAGCCTGGCTGAAAGTCATCCCCAGCTCCCATTCCAAAAGCCCAGCTCCAGCTTCCTTCACAGTTGGTTTTGCTACAATCTCTGATCTCTTCATTCCAATTCTCCAGAGGAAAAAATAGTCTGATTTGGCCACCTGTCAGCCAATGGATATTGGTTGTCTCAAAGACAGGAGCTCCAATCAGCTTGTCCAGTCAGCTGAGGCCAAGGAACTGACCTTATTCAAGCCAAATTTGGGTGAAGATGGAACAGAAAGGACAAAGGGACTATAACATTTCTCTATTGCTGCATGACAACCACCCCAAAATTTAGTGGTTTAAAACAATAATCATTTATTTGCTCTCAGTTTTACAACTGGGCAGGGCTTGGTAAAGATAGCTCATCTGTGCTCTATATAGTATTGATTAGGGAGACTTGACTGGGGCTGAAAGATCCAAGGTGGCTTCTGGCCACGCCTGTCATCTCAGCTGGGGAGGCTGTAAGGGCTGGAGGCCAGCTGGCTTCTCTATGTCCACATGGTCTCTCCAGCAGGCTGGCTGGACTTCTATATGGTAGCTTAGCACTCCAAGATAACGAAATGGAAGCACCCCCCTGCCACACACATGCGCGCGCAAACACACACATTCAAGAGGAGGGAGACAGACCAGTTCCTAGGGAGAGGAGCTACAAAGGCACATGGGCAAAAGGGCATGCAGGATGTGAGGGCCATTGCAGCCACCCTCCTCAGGAATCCTGTGGTGCCTGGTCCTTTCAGGAACCACTCATTTGTGCACAGGCTGCCATAGTTTACCCAGGAGTAGGGGACTTACTGGCCTAAGGATGGATCTACAGCTGGCAAGTAAAGAGCCAGGATTTGAACCCAAGTTTGCTGATTCTGGTGCAGTGTCCTTTCGAGCAGAAGCAGGCAGTGGTGTGTTTGGGGTGGAGGTGGGGGACCAGGGGTAATATAGCAAAACTAGTAATAGCTACTGCCTTTTAAGGGCTGTGCCAGGCATGAGGCCAGACACTTTACCTATGTTCTCTTCCTCAATCCTACCACAAGGAGGTTCTCATATGCTCCCTTTCAAATGAGAATACCAAGGCTCAGGAAGAAGTGACTGCATGGGGTTTACCACCAGGTAGTGATGAAGTCAGGATTCATACTCAGGACACCAGTACTTCACAGCAGAAAAAGCACCATATTGGTCACCTTATTCTAAACCACTTCACACTCAGGTTTCCCATCTGTAAAGTGGGCACAGTCCCATCACGTCCCATGGCCTTCTTCCTTTGTGTGATGGAATAAGCTGGTGGTGGGGAGTGTGCTGTGGCAGGGGTGGGTGAGCGCTTGGCTCAAGGTGGGTCAGGATCAAAGCTTTTGTCAGTCAATTCCCTGCTCCTAGTTCCCAATCCACCTGACATCTCTGTGGGGC